GTCGCAGCCATCATTGTTGTTTGGCGGGCCCGGGCTGGGGATTCGAACCCGCCACCTTAGGTGTATGTGGCTGGCGCCTTAGCCGATTGAGCTACAGGCACCGAGCCATATTTACTATTTCTAATGCTCTTCATTCCTTTCTGAAGATTGATTTTCCCTCCATTATCATTTGTCTTCAGCCTAAAGAACTTTCTTTAGCATTTCTTGTAGTACAGGTCTATTATGTTGTTATTTTTGAAGGATATTTGTGCTTGATATATAGTATTCTTTTCTTTCAGCACTTTTAGGATGTTATTCCATTGCCTTCCAGCTTCTGTTGTCCTTGATAAGATTTGTCTTCCCAATAGTTGGGAAGATGTATGTAAAATATTACTGTATGTAATATAATTTTTCTTCTGGCTGCTTTCAAGATTCTCTCTTTATCTTTGTTTTTTGTTAGTTTGTGCCATATCTACACATAGTTTTCTTTGTGCTGTTTAGGCTTTGTTGAGCTTCTAATATCTATAAATTATGTTTTTCACCAAATTTGATACATATTTTCAGCCATTAGTTCTTTTTCTTTGAGACAGAGTCTCAAGCTGTCACCCTAGGTAGAGTGTTGTGGCACCATAGCTCACAGCAACCTCTAACTCATGGGCTCAAGCAATGCTTTTGCCTCAGTTTTTCTATTTTTAACAGTGATGGGGGTCTCGCTTTTTGCTGGTCTCGAATCTGTGAGCTCAAGCAATCCACCTGCCTCGGCCTCTCAGAGTGCTAAGATTACAGGAGTGAGCCACTGTGCCCAGCCATCAGCCATTAGTTTTTAAATATTTTTTTCTCTCCTATTTTCTCTCTCTTCTAGGATTCCAGTTACATGTTTGTTAGACTTACTGTTACAGTCTCATGAGTTCTTGATGCTTTGTTTTTTAGTCTTTTTTTCTTTTCATTCTTTTTTCTCCTTTTTCTACAGATTGGGTAATTTCTACTGATCTATTTTCAACTTCACTTTCTCTTTCCTCTCTTATTGGTTATTTAACTAACCTATGGATATTCTAGATATACTTTCTTAGCTGTTAAATTGCTATTTGTTTCTTCTGTATAATTTTATTTCTATTTCTCTGCTTAGATATCCTATCTTTTCATTAATTCTAAGTGCATTTTCCTTTTTCTCATTGAGCACAGTTATAATCACTGATTTAAGTTCTCCTTAGCTGAGAATTCCAGCATCTGGGTCTGTCTTGGGAATTAGCGCCCTTGGTTATCTTTTCCTTTGAGAATTGGTCACATTTTTCTGTTTCCTTGTATGCGAATTAGTTTAGAAATGTATCCTGTACATTGTGAATGGTCTTTTGTAGAGCCTGTATTCTGTTACATTCCTCCAAAGAGTGTAGATGGTTGTTTTTTTTTTTTTTTTTTTGAGACCGAGTTCCACTATGTTGCCCTCAGTAAAGTGCTGTGGCATCACAACTCATAGCAACCTCCAACTCTTGGGCTTCTCTTGCCTTAGCCTCCCAAGTAGCTGGGACTACAGGCACCTGCCACAATGCCTGGCTATTTTTAGAGATGGGGGTCTCACTCTGGCTCAGGCTGGTATCAAACCTGTGAGCTCAGACAATCCACTTGCCTCAGCCTCCCAGAGTGCTAGAATTATAGGTGTGAGCCACAGTGCTGGCCCTGGTTTAATTCTCATGGCCTCAGTTGTAGGCTTCTTTGAATCTGCCCATGCCCACACAACACAGGGGTCACCCCAAGACTTGGGCAGATTAAATTACAGGATTTGGGGTTCCCGTTCTTTGCACCTCTTTTGTGATCCCCCATCCCTTTCCCATGATGATAGTTATCCCTGGGCTCCATTTTTTGGTGTTCAGGCCAGAAAGGCAGCAATTTTCTGTTGGAATCCTATCTGTCTGCACTGTACCCCACTGTACTGCAGCTATTTAGCACCTTCAGGCTATAGCTGTCAAAATGGAAAACTCAATTTCATACTGTCTTCTGCCAAATTTTAATTCTCCCACAGTCTTTTTGCTTTGGTTTATTCTCTAAGCCTTCAGGTAGTTGCTTTTTTGTTTTTTTCTTTTTGTATTTTGTCCAGACTTTATAGCAATGGTTCTCAACCTATGGGTCATGACCCACAGGAACTGTATTAAACGGCTACAGCTTTAGGAAGGTTGAGAACCACTGGTTTACAGTATATTATCTTCAGAGGGGTCATTCTGTTGGGATTTTACTCTGCCTGGATTTAGTTTAAAAACTAAATGGCCTGGCACTGGATATGGTAGGTGTAGATGTGAAGAAAATTTGGTTGACTGAGTGAGTGATGGAACAACAGTGAACTGCTCTTTACTCTTTCCTCTCCCCTTCCATGCAGCTTGACCCCTTCGAATCCAGTGATCCCTTTTCATCCTCTACTGTCTCCTCAAAAGGACCAGGTGAGACCCATGGCTTATTTTCCTTTCTGACTATTTCTCGGCCAGTGGCAGAGCTGGTCCAGTTGATGTTTTCACCTCCAAAGCCAGCATGTCCTTGGTGTGTCATTAGTCAGTGGACCCAGATCCTTGCCTGAGACTAGTAGGCCAAAACGAATACCCTTGCTTGGCTGCTCATCTTCCAGGGCAAGTGCTGGTATTTTGGAAAGGAAATTTGGCAGTAGGAATTCAGTACTAGCACCAGAGTTATTAGTTACTATTTACTTATCCTTCTTTATAAGTCTTTGGTTTATATCTTTGGTTTTTTTCCTAAAAGAATCCAGAGTTTGGGCTCAGCACCTGTGGCTCAAGTGGCTAGGGCGCCAGCCACATACACCTAAGGTGGCGGGTTTGAATCCAGCCCGGGCACGCTAAACAACAATGACGGCTGCAAACAAACAAACAAAAAAAAATAGCCGGGCGTTGTGGTGGGCGCCTGTGGTCCCAGCTACTTGGGAGGCTGAGGCAGGAGACTCGCTTGAGCCCAGGAGTTGGAGGTTGCTGTGAGCGGTGATGCCACGGCACTCTACCCAGGCGGACAGCTTGAGGCTCTGTCTCAAAAAAAAAAAAAAAAAATCCAGAGTTTGACCCAGGGTACTGCCTTGGGCTGTGGGTTCTGTGTTTAAGGAAGCCTTGGCTCACAGCATAAAACTCACAGCTGTGCCCCTGCTCTAGGCAAGTCACTCCTAGGTCAACCAAGAAAGTTCAGAAATTCCTACCCACAGATGAATTCCCCAAATTGTATGGGAGGTGGGTCACCTTTGAATTGCTTCTCCCCTCCCTGCTGTGTTTCTGCCCTAACTCAGTGGAACAGCAGTCTGTGCCTTTGCAGCACCTTTTTGCTCCTGTGGTGACTGTGAATGACACTGCTCTCCCAGAGCTGCCTGTCATGGTGAAAAACTGTCTCACTGAGATGCAGGAACCACGAGCCAAAGTAGGTGTATTGAGGACCTTCATGCAGATGCACATCTCTGGCGTATAAGACAGCTTCCTGGCGTCTCCTGTCCAGGAGCTATTTAGTTTAGTATTTTCCCTTGACCCCAGAGGTATGTTCTGTTAAAGACTGTAATTCTGACTTTGTTGGTACCAATTGCAGATCCCTTTGGAACCTTAGACCCCTTCGGAAGTGGGTCTTTCAGTAGTGCTGAGGGCTTTGCCGACTTCAGCCAGATGTCCAAGGTAAAGCCCCTCTCATGGAGCCCTGTGCCTCTGCCAGTATCTTAGTGCCTCTTGTGGTATGAACTGCCAGCCATAATTGGTAATGTCACGTATGTATTTCCCTTGCACCTTTCAAGCATGAGGTCGTAAGCAAGTGGACAGGGTCCAGAAAGCCCCCGTGGCTGTCTTCGGATGCATTGCCCTTCTCTGAGTGAAACAGCCAGAGTCCTGAAACTCTCCCATTGGCCATACTGCCCCAGGGCCATCAGTTTCCAGGCAGTGAAGTTGTCACCATGGCCAAATAGAAATTTAAGAAGGTGCTAAGAGCAGAAATCCCAAGAGGGTTGTAGGCAGCAGGCCTGGTGTGCAGCCAGCTGAGACCAGAACCTTCAGCTGGCAGCCCTGCGGGCCTAAGGCCTCCAGAGAAGGTGGGTCAAGCCAGTGTCTAGAGCCACCTGCGGGACACCGCAAGAAGGGTGTTCAAAAGTGAGAGCCAGGCTCAAGACTAGGTGTGAGTAAATCCACAGATGAAAAGTACACTGTTCTAGGACAACAGGCAGGCCCATTATTGAGGTAGGCAGTGTCTATGTCCAGCCCTAAGACACAATTGTGTGATTGTGTTGGGCTCTTCCTTGAGGGGCTTGGAGGGAAAATGTGGTTAGTGCCCAATTTGTGACATAATAAGTCCATCCATGACAGTGTCCAAGATGGACAAATCAAGGAATGACAGTAGAAGCCCATTATTACTAAGGTAAGTTGCAGAAAAAATGCTGAAAAGTCAAAAGTGGTGGCCTTGTTGACTGAAAATAAAGCCAGGCTGAGGATCCACTGTGCTTCATCATGATGTCATGTGGCCCTGACTTTGAGTAGTGAGCATGTTTCTCTGATAGGAATTAAGGAAAACAGGGTGAGGTATGCCTTGTCTGGCCTCCAGTGCCCTATCCCCTGTGTCCACTTTACCTTCTGACAACCCTCTACTAGGGAAGCCTAAGACAGGGAGCCTCTGGGGACACAGCTTGGGGCCCTGCTTTTCCCTATGCAGTCCCCTGATTTTTACCAAATACCTGCGGGGACCCAGCTGCCATTAGCCCAGGGGAAAGGTAGTGGCCACAAGCAGAATACAGTCCCCTGTCATGGGGCCCACATCCTGAGCAGCTGGGCCCATCCTGTGGTTTCTGTCCTCAGCCCAAAGGTGGTGAGGGAAGGGAGCCCCACGAGTATATGGAAGGTGAGCACCTCAGATGTGGAGTCCCCCTAGCCACCTGCATCTTGTCAGTCCCCACACCCAGGCGTCCCATGGTGCCAGCTTCCTGGGGCTTCCTGCCTCTCTAGTGATGTGTGAGCTTGGCCAACAGAGCAAATGATTGCCTGGGTGCCTTGTGGTTGGTAGCGGTAGCAGTGTGTGATTATGGCACACAGCTTCTGAGAAACACTTGAGATTCTGTTCAGGTTTTCAAAGAAATTCATGAGTGCACTCCAACAGAGCAAGAAGCCAGCTTTGGCCAAGGCAGAGCGTCTGTTTATACTAATTAGCAGGTAGAGGGGGCTCTGGTGTGGGGGCCGCTTTTCTTAGCCCAGTGTCCCTCATTGACACGCTCTGACACTGGGATTGGCCAGAGTGCAGCTGAGAGAATGAGATTCTCTTGACATCGCTCCTCCCCCAGTGGCTGTAGGCCCATGCTCCAGAGCAGGGGGGAAATGTCTCCTGAAATCAGAAAATTCTGCCACACGATGGCAGCAGTCCCAAAGGCAGGGCTCCAGGTCCTCAGTCTTCTCTGGCTATCATAATGGGAGGCTGGCCCTGGAAGCAGAGGGCTTTAGATCCTTTCTGCTCTGTCCTCCTCACTGTCAGCACCAGGGTGTAACAGCTGGCAGTGGCCTGAGTTAGCACAAGTAGCACAAGGACAAGAGAGAATCTCTGCCAGGCTGCTTTGCATGAGTGAGGCCTCTGCGTCACACAGTGGCAGAACAGAGGCCATGGGCATGTCGCAGGGGGCCAAGGCAGGGTGGCCAGCCTGCAAGAGTGACCCTCAGCCCCAGGTGGAAGGAGCAGCCCTCCTAGCCCCACCAGGCTTAGGCTACCCTCTCTGGTACCAACCCAGCCAACCCTTTGTTTCCCAGCACTTCTGAGTACCCCCTGACGGAGACACTTCAGAGCCTGGTGCTCCCCTATTTTTTTGCCCATTCTAACCTAAGTTGCATTTCCCCTCTTCAAGTGATCTCTTTCCTCATCCGCATGTCCTGAGATCAGGCTGTTCACACACGTGCAGTTGTGATTTTAGAGCCAATCCCACTTCCTGTTCAGGGCACCGGGCCAGAGCAGAGTTGGACAGAGCTGTGGAAAATTGGTCTCCAATACTATATTGTTTTGTTTCCACTGTCCCATTCGCTCCTGATGTCATGACACTTGGACAGCAAAATACTGAGCTCAATCCCGACCTAGCAGCTCTTTGTTTTTCCCTTTTGGTTACCTTTCTGTTTTTCAAGAACACCATCATGTATATAAATAAAATGCTGAAGGAAATGAAAGTAATGTGGCAAGGAGGTGTTCTTTGGCTTTTCTTTTTTTTTTTTTT